ATAGCTGTTGCAACATTTCCCACAAACACACACATACGTCAATGCTTCCTTTGTTTCGCTCTGTTTTAGTGAAAACTTTGAGAATGTCTCCTTTAGAATTGTCCTTTTGGTATCTCCTCTGAATGTCATTTATTATGAGGGGGCTGTTGGGTTGGTGGTGATGTAACCATAAGGGCAATTATTATGGGTCCCCTTATGTGTGGTTAGGCATCGAAGGCAAAACGGGAGTGCATAGGAAAGCTCAGTCAGGCTTGATCCGACCCTGCAATTCTAGCTACCCCAGCCTGCTTGAGATTGAAATGATCCTTGTGGTGAGAAAACAAAAGATGAAAATTCACACAAACATAATTAACAGCAAAAGCTCCAAGCACTGAAACTCTGGATGAACTTGACATAGGAATCAATACAACTGCTCAGGGCCCAAAGGACAAAACAAAACAAACAAACAGATTTTATATAAAATGCAGTGGGTAAATTGTCTGGAATGGAGAACAAGACAAAGTGAGTTGAAGAGTATTTGGGCAAAGTGACAAAGAAAAAGTTAGACTTTTGAAGGGACGAGGCATGACTTGACATTATTGTAAATTTCCACTCCGGTGGCATAATTAGCTCTTCAATGTCTCAGCTGAAAGACAAGTGTTTAGAAGGAGCCACTTGGGAGCAGGGCAGAGAGCACTCATCCAGGTGTGCTGAGCTGGGAAATCGTTTCACGAAACTGTTATGGAGAAGGATGGGAGCAGGCGGCCGACAAAGTAAATAAGCCTTTGATAGAAGTCTAGAATTTGGATTGGGGATTTTATATTTAGACACCTGAAGGAAAAATAGAATAATCCTCTGAACAATTCTGGAAGGTTTCTAAATAAATACGTTGTATTGAGCCAGCTGGGAAGAGCTGGGACTGTTGTCAGGGGCCACCCGGTCAATTCTCACTCCTGGGGACCCGATGGACGACAGAACACAGCACTGCCCGACCCAGCACCCCTCACAGTTGTTACTGTGCTTGAGACCATTGTGGCACTCACTGTGCCAATCCATCTCATCAAGGGCCTTCTTCTTTGTCGCTGTCCCTCTACTTTACCAGCATGATGTCCTTCTCCGGGGACTCGTCTCGTCTCTCTTGACAACATGTCCAAAGATGCGAGAGGGAGTCTCACGCTCCTCTCATCTCAGGAGCATGCGGGCTGTACTTCTTCCATTTGTTCTTCCAGCAGTCTGTAGTACTCTCAGTACTCTTTGACAGCACCATAATTCAAGCACACCAATTCTCCTTCTGTTTTCCTTATTCATCGCTCAACTTTCACACGCATATGAGGCAATTAAAAGTATCCTGGTTGAGGGGGGCACATCTTAGTGCTCTAAGTGACATTTTTGTTCTTTAACATTTTAAAGATATTCTGAGCCACAGACTTACCCAAAGCAATGTGTCATTTGATTTAGAAACACAAGTCTGTTGGCTATAATGCAGTGTTCTTTGGGGTCTTAGAACTACCTAGTAAATAACTTGTGTGGAATCAACAATAACTGTGCACCCCACAGTTGCCAGTCTTCCAGGCCAGTAGCTTGGCCCTATGAACTACAGGTAGATGGGCTAATATCTACAAAGAGTACTTTACTTGGAAACATCCATTGGGGTTTGAAATTCCAGTGGTATTCAAATGGTTAACAGAATGGAACTTGAAGCTCTATTTCCGTGTCCTTTGTCTCTCTGTCCTTTGTCTTCCGTGGAGCCCTGCAAGGGCCCTGGGTCTACCATTAGGGATCTGAAGAAGGGAGTGGAAGTGACACTGCATGGTCTTCACTGTCAGTGGTCATTATGGGCATCAGGGATTCTCTGTCTCGCAGGTCAACCACGCAGGTTCCATACCCACGATCAAGTTGGGTGTTTTCCCACCTCACATCCATCCCGCTGCTTTGTCTAATTCTGTAGTAGATGCCATGTGACTTTCCCCCCTCTGCTCTCAAGAGTTTTCCAGCCCATTGATAACTCAGTGAAGTGAAAATTCCCAAATTATTTCACATGTGAACTCTCACCATCACACCGTCTAATTAATCATTGCACAAGAATTTGAGATAAAGGGGAAGGTGGGGAGAGGGGGGCAGGAAGGGGGAACCGATCGCAATGATCGACACATCACCACCACCACCCCCTTTTAGGGGGATGAACAACAGATACCATGGGGGAAGGGAGATAGCAGTCAGTGCAAGATGTGGAAAAAATAATAATTTATAATTTATCAAAGGGAGAGGGGGAGAGGAGCTGATACCAAGGGCTCAATAGAAAGTAAATATCTAGAAAAGAATGATGGCAACATATGTACAAATATGCTTGATACAATTGATGTATGGATTGTTATGAGATTTGTAAGAGCCTCCAATAAAATGCTCTTTTAATAAAAAAAAAAGAAGTTTAGGTAACTGAATGAGTTCATCGCTTCAAAGGCTTCAATTTCATTTTCAATGAAATAGGATGCCTCAACAATTTTGGAAAATGATTGGAAGAAGTTATCTTTAGAAGGTATAAATAAAACTTACCACGGAAGATTATGTCTTAGGTTACAAAAAACAATAACACTGATGCATTGTATGAAAATGACATTGTGGGAAATATGACTAGGACTATATTCCCTGACTTATAATAGAGGGAATCTGGAAAGCTAGTATTCCTTGGAAGGAAAGCCACCACTTTGCTAAGTTAGTGATAAAGTCCAAGCACATTATTCTGCTTTAAATAGCATTCCCACGGAATCTCCCCTTACATCTATGCTGCCTTAAAGTGAGCACTTGGTTGATTCTATCTCCCTGGAGAAGCAGACATTCCTTGAATAGCTCCTCCTGCTGGGTCACCTGGCCCTCCTCGTACCTTCCCC